CCTAAACCCTAAACCCTAAACCCTAAACCCTAAACCCTAAACCCTAAACCCTAAACCCTAAACCCCAACCCTATACTTTATACCCTATACCCTATACCTTATACCCTATACTCTATGCCCTATACCCTATACCCTAAACCCTAAACCCTAAAAACCCTAAAATACCCTAAAATATCCTAAAAAATCCTAAACCCTAAACCCTAAACCCTATACCCTATACCATATACCTTATACCCTATACTCTATGCCCTATACCATATACCCTATACCCTATACCCTAAGCCCTAAACCCTAAAAACCCTAAAATACCCTAAAATACCCTAAAAAATCCTAAACCCTAAACCTTTAAACCCTAAACCCTAAAAATCCTAAAAATCCTAAAAACCCTGAACCCTGCACCCTGCACCCTGCACCCTGCACCCCGCACCCCAGAACCACGAACCCCGGAACCCTGGAACCCGGACCTCAGACCCCGGACCCCCAACCTTGGACCCCCAACCCTGAACCCTCAACCCTCAACCCTAAACCCTGTGCCTAAAATTTATACCCTGTGCCTAAAATTTATATTTATATAATTGCTTTAAAAAAGTGTTTTCACTATTTTTTTCTTTGAGTATTCTTGAGTTGTTGATGACATTATTTTGTTGGAGAAAATCTTGTTTCATCATATGCTTGAGCTAATGAAGAATTTCAAAGACTTATGGATCAACTAGACTTATGGTTTTGATAATGCTGAAGATGGAGCTTCAAATGTTGGTTGCTTGACTTTTTTATAGATTCATCATATGCGTTGTTTCTTATTGTCTTTTATTGTATCTAGGTAGAGACTTAAGGGTCATTAGATTTTATTTTTCTTTTCCTTTATGTATTTTCTTTTCTTTTAGTTGAGCCTTTAGTCTCTTTAAGGACTCTTTGTAATCGCATTTTTAAATAAACATGTAAGCCCTTATAGTGGGTTTTAACCCTTAACCTTTAACCCTTAACCCTTAAACCCTAAACCCTAAGCCCTAAACCCTAAACCCTAAACCCTAACCCTAAAACCCTAAAACCCTAAACCCTAAACCCTAACCCTAAAACCCTAAAACCCTAAACCCTATATTATTGAATGTTATCACATGTTAAGTTATGTTATTATAATCAAGCTTATAATAATAGAAATTATAAAATTATTTATTTGAAGGTTAAAATCATGAAATTCGATTGAATTCATAGGAGGCTCGGTAGCGCCGCATGAGAGGTGTTTTATGATTTTATTTTCAGTAAGAAAAATAAGTTTATATAGAAAAAAAATATTTTATTTATTAAGTTGTGTTAGGAGATTCTTTTGATTTTTGTGTAATATAAAATTTATTATAATAAAATATAATATTATAAAATATACTATAGTATATTATGCTATAGTATGTTGGAATATATTGTTAAATGATATCTTACATTATAATATGATTTATTATGTTATAATATAATATGATTTATTATGATTTTCTTATAAATATTAAATAAAATGATAAATTAAGGGCGTTCAAATTCTTAAAATTATCATAAGACAAAAATTAAGAGTGAATATTTGCCACCATAATTGCAACATAATTTACTTGCCCGCCCTAACACCAACATGATTTATCTATAACGCACCTCTGATACTGCAGCCCAAATCCCTCATAAATTCAATCAAATTCCATCTTGAATTTCAAATGAGCATTTTTAATATGTATGTCTGTGAACTCAATCGCATTATACTATAAGATAATAAATCACATTATAATTTAAGATAGCATTTAACAGTACATTCCAGCATACTATAACATAATATACTATAGTATATTATATTATATTATAGATTACTCAAAAACCAAAATAATCCTCTAATTCAAGTAAATAAATAAAATGTATGTATTTTCTATATATAAACTTATTTTTCTTACTAAAAACATAATAAAACAACTCCCATACCATGCCTCACCCTACAGACTCCTATGAATTTGATCAATTTTTTTTTCATTTTTGCCTTTAAATCAATAATTTTATAATTTATATTAATATAAGCTCAATTATAATATACTGTAATATAACATAACATGCTCTAACATATAATAGTATACTATAACATGCTATAACATATTATAATATATATTTTATAATATACATCAACACTCATTTTACATGCATAAAAATGCGCCAATTTAACAAAACTAAAAAATAACACTCATCTTTCATTTATTGGCCAGAAATGACACCTTATAACACACCTCTAATATTACACCCCCAACTCCTGAGCATCTATGAATTTCAAATTTCATCATCTTGGCCTACAAACCTCAACCAACTTGGTTCAAATTAAATAATCAAGCTAGTTCAAACTGAGCCAAGTCAACATTATTCAATCTATAAACTCATGGTACTTTATTTAATTGGAGGTTAGCTCCTCTCTTTAACGTTTCATTACTTCCTCCCCCTTATGATTTACCACACATGAGAGGCGATACCATGATGGACAAAACATTTATAACTGTTATGACTTTTTAAAAGTTTTTATAAAATTGATTATAACATTTTTTAAGAAAAATAACTTTTCATCACAATAATGAGAAAGCAAAAAAATAATAATAACTGAATAAAAATTTGATTGTTACTTAGAAATAGTAATAATAATAAAATTATCCCAAATAAATCTTTAATTACATTGATTTCTATATTAGCACCAGCCAATCCATTATCCAATAAAAATCCATCTTGCCTACTTTAGGGTTTGATGTACCGAAGAATTGGGCTTGCCTGCACGGTTGATGTAATTCTCCTTGTTACTTTGAAAATCCTTTTCATTTCGCTCTGTGCTCTTTCACCAAGTTTATTTAAAATTTACGTTAGGCTTATGTGTACAACTTGGTCACTATATGGGATATGGTGCCTCTTCGATTTTTGGTTTGCCACCACTAGTTAGTCTTATGAGCCATGTTGGAACCCATAACCTACCGTCTTAGTTTAGGGTTTAGGTAGGGCTATATTCTCCATAATGCTTCGCTCCTCGTTCTTGTATTGAATTTTAGCCGCTTCACTTTAGAAAGATGATGATACACACCCCTCAATTGAGTCCATCTTGGACTCTCTATGATCATCCGCATGTTCTTTTGGACCCTATAAATTTGCTTTTGCTGCATCCTTATCATCTTCGATTCATTTACATGTATGTTCTAACCATCCAAAATCCCACTAGCCAACCTTATAAATGATATCCCTTCCATTTTTAAATATATTGGACTATCTCTCAAATTTCTTCAAAAACTCAATGGGTTAGAATTTGTGTACAATACAAACAACAACAACAATAACATCAAGCCTTTGCCCCACTACGTGGGTTCAACTACATAAATCCTTTTTTGTCATTGTGTCCTGTTAAAAGTCAAATTCTCATATAAATCTAATAAAGAAATATCATTTCTAATATTTTCTAACCAAGTATTTTAAGTCTGCATCTAACTTTCTTAACATAAGTCAAATCTAATACCTCAACTTTCCTAACCGAGTCATTGAGTGTGACCAACCAATCCAAGGCGACACTCTCTAATCTTATCTTCCACTGGAGCTACTCCAACCTTTTCACGTATATGCAAATTTCGTATCATATCTCGAAGGGTAAAGCCGCTCATTCACCTAAGCATCCTCATCTCTGCAACACTTAACTTAGAATTATGCATCTCTTTTAATGGCCAACATTCGGCATCATAAAGCATTGCAAGTCTCATCACCATCTTATAGAATTTTCACTTAAGTTCGAGGGAGACATGTCTATTGCACAACAAGCCTGATGCATTCCTCCACTTCAACCATCCAACTTGAATTCTGTTGATAATATCCCCATCTATTTCGTTGTCACTCTAAATAATAAATTCAAGATATCTAAAATATATACATATCTTTAATAATTTGAATATAAATGTTATTAACTCCTTTTTTTCAAGTTCTCTTGGAACTTTATCATATGCTTTCTCTAAATCAATAAATATCATAGATAAATCCACCTTATTTTCTCTATATTTCTCCATCAAACCTCTCAATAAATGCATGGCTTCCAAAATAAACCTACCCGACATGAATCCAAATTGATTTTGAAAAACATTAGTATCATGTCACAACCTACATTCCATAACTCACTCCCGTAATTTTAAAGTATAACACAAACTTAATTCCTCTATAATTCTTACTCTCTTGTGCATAACCTTATTCTTAAAAATAAGAATTAACACATTCTCCACTCATATGACATCTTTTTAATCCTTAAATAAAATTAAAAAGTTTAGCAAGCCAAAATATTCCATCATCTCCTAAGCATTTCCACATCTCTATTGGAATATCATTAGATCCAATAACTTTTTCACACTTCATTTTCTTTAAAGCCTCTTTTAACTTCAATTTTAATAAAAACAAAAATTTGTATTTTCATTTAGAGTGCTAATGTCACTAAAGTCAATCGTATCACATTCTTCATTAAAAAGTTTAACAAAATATCTCATCCATTTTTATTGAATATCATCTTCTAAGAAAAATATTTTTTAATCTTCATCTTTAATACACTTCACTTGAAGTGAATCATTAATACAAACAAAAATAACCCTTGAGAAGAATCAAATTGAAAAAAAAAATTAATACAAACAAAAATCTTCAAATTTTATCAGTGTCCCTATTAGCTCTAACCGAAGACAAATAGATAAGCAAATAAAATGCTCAAGCGAACCAAAACCCAAGGGGTGCAAGTAAACACACTGGAAATGAAAATGCTTCAGGGCTAACAAAAGAATAAAAATCCCGAAAAATGCCCTCATGCCCAATGGTTTTTCATTTATGAAAGGTATTTGACTTTAAGAGAATTAGTCCAATACACGGTGGGACTTCAAACAATTGATCAAGATAGATAACTTTGTTAATCAGCATATCAAATCTGTACAATGCAGTGGGGAGTTCCCCAGCATTAAAAAAAAAAAATACATCAGCATTGCTTCATATCCCATTAATCTCAATATCCACTATTTCGACGCAAACCATGATACGATCCAACTAGAACATGAATACCATCTAATCTCTGATAGTTCAATTAATAACTACAAAATTCACAAAATATTACGAGCGCTAGTAAACTGGCAGTTCCTGAATCATTCTGGAACCAACGATCCCAAAATGGTCAACAAATTTTCGGGTCCAGAATCTTGCAAATTTGGATGTAACAGAATAGTACAATACCTGGCGAGCTCGTTATTTACCTGCCTTAAATTTCTCTACACATGCACTGCATGTTTCAACAAAGTGTTAACAAATGACTACAATAAGCTAACCAAAACATGGTTAATGGCGGCATCAAAAGAATTAAAATCCAACATAACTATTGTTATCAACTAATGATGACCGAAAACAGATTGACTAAAAAAATAATTTAATTAAGCTACAACTTAATTTTGCCGAAAACAGATTGGCACAAAATAAGCGTCAATTCCTACCGCTGTAACATAGTAGCCAAAAATGACTTCTCTCAAAAATGCAAAAGAATAATTTATGTTCATCCACATGCATTGAACTAAAAAAGGCAGCAAAAGCACATTTATGTCGAACAATACCAGCTTAACAAAGAGAAACCAAAAACATAAAGCCATAACCAGTGCTTGGTAGGTTCTAAATCCTTGAGGAACTCGAAATTCCTTGATAGCCACAAAGCCAGCGACCTTACAGATTTAACTTTTCGTAAGAAAAATGAACACGAGACCAAAAAAAATGAGACATAAATAGAAAGTACTGTTATATCATTAGGTGTACTTCAACGAAAACACTATTTGAAACAGTTTCCAGAAATACCTATAGAATTTTTATTTTTAGCACATTCTTGTTAAAAAAAATAACACATGCAGGCAGCTAAATTTTTTATGATAACTTAATGCTTAATTCTAAGATTTCTAACTATAATTTGACAAAACAATCCATATCACCAATTTCTTGTTAAACGCAAATCCTTAACACACTACATTGTAACGCTATTTGATACTACAACAAAATGTCAACCATAAGAGCAAATAAAATTATATGCATACTTAAAATTATCATTTGATTCCCATATCAATTGAATATAATAATAAATCAATAACAGTGAGCTGCAATATGCAAAAAGTGATAACTTTGTGTACTTTCATGTAATAAAAATGCAGAATGCAGAGATTTTTTAAGAAAGCAATACTTTCTCAAGAACCTGAAAAACTCCTTCCACATTCCAGCCTACAACAAATAAAAAGCCTGACAGCCCTGTGGAACCTCGCTAGAATTAATAACTTAAATGTTACACATCCATTCATAGAAGGATGAAATCAAACCTCAGAGTGTCTGTGCCCTTTAGCTTGTTAAGAAACTTTGGTAACCATAAGAGGATGTGTAGATCATTACCCTCTGCAAAAAACTTGATATTACCTGAGCACACAGCAAAATGAGCTAAAAAATGTTTGAATATATTTGGAGATTAAATGTCAGTGCCAATCATTAAGTTCATCATTTCGAAAATAAAGGAATACAGGAAAATTTCTACCAACAACTAAATCATATAGCACTTATTCACTCCTTTCCTTACTTCACAAGAACTAGATTGAATCAAGCTGGCAAATCCTAAAACACATTGATACAGTGGACAACAATCTTTGATATTCATTTCAAAACTAGAATACCATTCGAAATTATTCAAAAAAGAAAACAAACAAAAATTAACTAGTGCATGATTCCAAGGACGTTCAAAAAAACAAGTAAATATAATAGACAGCAAACTACCAAATAGAAATCATAATATCAACAAAAATATAAGAACTTAAATTCCATGATAGAAAGAAGCAACAAGCTTATAATCCATAATCTGGGGAAGGTTTCCTCTAATAACTAGCAAGCATCCAAAGAAAATAATTCAAAAAAGGTTAAAGTTCACATTACATGCAATAACAATGTACTAAAGTTTATAGAGATTCATCCAAACAACCGGTCTGTCATGATATTAGTCCCTTAAGAGCACTAATCATAATTAGGTCTACATAACAACAGAGACAATCAAGACATAAATCTCATTCCATGTCGGTACTCCTAAATAAAGCTTCCAAGGTAGGCCATGGATATTTCAATCTCTGTTCATCTGGTCTTCTGGTTAAGGCTTGAGGCTTCATAAAGGCTGGCTCCAGGCTTCAGGACCCTCAGCTGTTTTAATTGGATGGAAAGGCAACAAAGGTCAAAAAGCATGAGTATTATAAATCCAATGTAGGTGGGCTGGGGAGGCTACTGACAATAAATAGTCAAAATATGAAGCAACTGATCAGTGCATCTACAAGTAATTCTATTATACCGGAATGACAAATAAGGTTAAGGTAGTAGTCTACCTGCAGGCCCTATTGGGTTTACCCTAATAACCATAATGTTTCCCATGAGAAATAGGGTTTGGACCAGATAACCTGGTAACAGAAGCTCAGTTAGGTGCAACATAGAGGGGAACTTTTAGATGAGTCACAGGAGAAATGAAGAAATTAATTGACTGCATATAATAAAACGCATTACTTGAATGATAACATTAAAACCTTTTTTTTTATATTAGGGCCTTTCAATAAACGTTGTGGGACTAAAAACAAATAAAACTTCCATTTGTTTCTTTAGCCAACAACAATGCTATAAGGATTACACCGGATGGTCATCCTTCAATGTAGACAACATTTCAGATATTTGGAGGCTAGGACAAGACATTGAGAGTGTATAATACATAGTTTAGAAAAAAATCATTGGACACTTGGACATGTCAAAGACACTTGTTGAACATATGTTCGAAATAGCACAGGCCACCCAGCCTGTTAAATCAGTAAAGATTCTTCTGGACTCAATCTACTTCTCCCACTTAAGTATTAGCATATGTTTGTTACTTGACTGCAGATTATAATGATCTTCAGGCTATATAATATAACCATAATTAGTAACTTATATTGTAGTACAAAACTTTATTTTAGTTATTAATTATTAAAATATGTATGCATGTCACGGGATATATTTTCCAAGCTTTGGTAATGCCATCTGTAAGGCTCAACTATTGTGCCCACAATCTTATTCTAAACTGCTAAATGAATTGCATGGATAGGTTAATCAATATTCAATAAGTACAATATTAATGGGATTGAAATATAAATTACTGCCAGCTTTTTTACTTGTCATCCAGCACACAAATATGCTTCAAACACGTTCCATAGCAACAACATGATAGAGTTAGACTCAAATAACATAACAATACAATTCATGAATGCATGCCACAATCATAAATAACAACAATAAGAAAATTTTGAGAAGAAAATGACTTTACCCAGTGCTTCCAGCACGACCAGGATGGGCACCATATGTCCCATAACTACTGCCACCAACCTTCAGCAAAGACACATAAACCCAATCAATAAGCAGTCAACAAAAAAAGCAAACTCGCAACCACATGAAAGCCAAAATACATTGTATGGGAATGTTAGACAACAATACAGCCAAAAAGGGTAGTAGAAAAGTCACCTGAGAAGATGAATAACTTCCAGAGGAAAGCAGGTCACCAGAAGTACCATATGAACTAGAATAAGAATAAACACGACCAGGCCCCTTTGAATCCCGGCTTCCATATTTTGAAATTTCTGGAATATCACTTGGCGTAGGATGGTAAGCAAAAGGCTGAAATGCTGATAAAGCATCTTCTCTTTCAAAGAAGTTAGCTTTCAACCTGGTTGTTATTTGAACAAGGGCATCCCTGGCAATGTCAAGGTCTCCACTAATCTGAAGACATATGGTTTAGAGTCAACGCAAAACAATTGCTGCATAAAAGCAGCAAGTAATTATAAAATAGAAGAAAAGGATCCATACCTGAACCATCTCATCATCATCTGATGCAACTTTGGGAAGGTTCTCCTTTGACAAGATGCGTATATTTGCCCTAGTGCTTCTCCTCATCTCAGAGATGATACTACCACCTTTCCCAATAAGACAACCAATGCGGGTCGTTGATACAAGTAAGCGTGTTGTATATGAAGGTTCACCAGACTCTCTTTCAAATTTCTCACTGCACCTAGGCTGCAAGCGCACCGCCGCATCTATTGTTGCAGAAATAGGATCTTCAAAAAGCTGAAAAAACATAAATTAAATATTCAAAAAAAAATTGCTTAAAGAGAGTGGCTGAATTCCATTTGCTAGAAAGAAATTATTTCACCTCTTTTGCTGAAATTGTAATTATGCAATCATCTTCTGCATTAGAACTATCAACCTTTATAAATGCTCCAGAATCTTGTCTTATCTGTTTGATGATACAACCACCCTTGCCAATGACACCTCCAATGTTGGCAGAAGGGCATATCATCCTTAAGTTGAATTCTTTTGTAGAAGCATCATCCCTTGGAGGAGGGTAGAATGATGGCCAGTCACCAGCAGCATCACTCTTGTAACCTCCAAATGGACTAACCAACGGACCCACACCCAAGACAGGTGTTTCAGTATTGAATCCACGATAATGACTGTTGTTAGCCACATTCAAGAATAGCATATGCTGTGAGCGTGATGGATTTTCATGGATACGAGATGAAACATCAAAAAGAGCCTTTTTCACAATAGAAGCATCTCCAGCAATCTAAAATATAAGATAAAAGAGGACTTATTAGATATATTGACAAAACGTGAGAGATGAATGCAATCAACACGTAGGTATAATCATTAAGTTGCACCGAGGGAAACATACAGTAATCTAACTTTCTTGATTAAAATGATGATTTGAAAAGTTTCTCAAATCTGTCTTACACACGTAAACTCAAACCTCTCTAATTTTCTGGACATTTTGTACAAATAGTTCAATTTCTTTAAACTTTGGCTTTATTGAATTATCAAAATTAGGAAAATTAGTGTAATCTTTCTACGCTTTGTCAATACTGATTAGAAAATATGCTTGTGACAAAGGCTTAGCTTCCACATGCTGTTTTGATTTTGACAGAATGCATATACCAAATCCTTTGGTGGAAACCACCAAAGAGGAAGTTAACTTGATTTAGCCATCAGGAAAGATTACATTTTTTAATGAAAAAATTTACACTGAGGCATAATGGCCTCCTTTTCACAACCTACATGTTGCTAGCCGATAAGTAAAGGCATACATACAGTAATACCTGAAGAAGTTCATCAGTACTTATGGCACAAGAAGGAAGATACTCATTCTTCAATATGCGTATCTGAGCACCTGTACTGCTACGAATGCCCTGAATAATCTGTCCACCTTTCCCAATGATGCATCCAATTTGATCGGATGGCACAAGTAAGCGAACGGTAACTTGAGGAGCATCTGTATCGACTTCTTCATCACCTGCATCCTCATCTGATATTAATCTCTCATGAACTCTGAAGAGTGCATCTTGTGCAGCACATACCATTTCTCCAGTGTCTTCAAGGGAATTAGACTCTTCACTTGAGCTAAAAATAGTTATAACCCGCTCCTCACATCCAGGTACAGTATCACCAATTCTTATCTTAGCATGTGTGTCCGCCCTCAATTGTTTCACAATATCACCACCCCTACCTATGATACTTCCTATCTTCCTCCCTGGACACAGATAACGATAGACAGTATCTTCAGGCCCAGGAGCATATGCCTCCCTTTCATCGCCAGGATTCCTTCTCTTGCTTCCTCCATTATCTCCATGATCAGAACGTGAATGAGAGCGCTTACCATGATTGTTTCTTTGTCCAGCCATTTAGTATGAAAGCAAATCACTTCGAGAAGAAGTATCTAGTGAGACGATTACTGAACAACAAAGTTAGAGAAGCCACAATAACTTTTTTCTTTCATTATGCATTGTGTTATCAAGATAAAGAAATAAACCAAAAAGGGCAAATATGAGATTTGGTGAGGTATATGCAAGTAGTAGTAAAATCTAAGTTAGCCAGGGTAAATGAAAATGGTTTAGAGCATAAAGAGGTGATTGGTCATAACAGACAATCTGAACAAAAGAAAAGTCATGAACACTTGTTCCACTTGTTTTCTTAAGGTAGATTATAAAATATTTTGTTGGGATCCATAGCTGCTTCTAACTATAAAATAATCCTAAAAAACCACAGTATTGTCATGATTATTCAAAGAACCAGACATGCTGATCTGGCATTTGTTTGCATCCAGCTATTGAAAAAAAAAAAGAGCATCCTCCATCGCAAAGTCCATATAGAGTACCAAAATATGAAATAAAAATGAACAAGAAACTTGAGATCTACCCAAGTAATATGGAACTACAATATTAACCAGTCTAAGTATGGTTAAGATGCACAAAAAGTTGAGTACTTCTAAAAATAGATCTTTAAGAACTAGGGTAAACCATTCATGTCATAATGGAATGCCGAATAATAAAATGACGAAATAGCCAACAAACATCATCAAACAACGATAAGATTTAAAAAGATGAAGTAAGAATAGAAAGAAAAAAGTAAACGAAGTAACTCCGAAAGTATGAATACAAGAAAAAAATTCAAAAGGAATATGTGAAATAGGTTAGAATTATTGGATTACCTACGGAATTCAGAAAATCTTAGCAACACCACGAGATGGACGACGGCGAGGAAAACCCTAGTTCTTAGGGATGCGAAATGCAGGGTGTAAGCGATAAAATGGCCGGCTGAAAGCTTTATAGGAAGAAAATATCTCCCTTTTGCCGCGCCCTAGGGTATGCTTTATCATTTTGGTAGTGAAATGACTGTTTCACCCTTACATAAGCATTATGGTGCATTTGCCGATTTTTTTGTTTTTTCTCCAAAAAATTTGAAAGGCTAACCCAGCTGGACTTTTTTTTAAAGAAGGATATTATTTAAAGTCTAAATTATGAGAGGAGGTAGATTTAGAAAAAAATTGTAAAACTGTTTAGCCTAAGCTATGAATCATGTGAAGTCTGTGTACACTTACAACATGATTTTAATTTGTAAAAAAATTTAATTTATAAAAATTCGAATATTTCACCAAAATTTTTTTAAAGAAGGATATTATTTAAAGTCTAAATTATGAGAGGAGGTAGATTTAGAAAAAAATTGTAAAACTGTTTAGCCTAAGCTATGAATCATGTGAAGTCTGTGTACACTTACAACATGATTTTAATTTGTAAAAAAATTTAATTTATAAAAATTCGAATATTTCACCAAAATTTGAGATCAAAAAGGTTGGCGTCTTCTGTCATTCCTTTATTTTAGGCTACGATTTGAGATCAGTGAGTTGCGGAGGTCAAACTCAGCCAAATCTAATAAGATAAATTTAAATTAAATATTATATAATTAGTTTTACTAAATTTAATACATATGACACTTTTTGTTTATTACTTTTATAGTATTTTTTATAAAAATTTACTAACTAGTTTTGAAAATGTATTTTTTTAGAAATTTTTATGAGTGTGACCAATTTTATATAAATCTTCATGAGTGTGACCAATTATTATAATTTTTAAAAATTTAAATTAAAATTGCTGCCATAGGGAAGGTCATTTTTAAAATACATATTAGGAAATTTATATAAAATAAATCAACCTTATTATTGAATTAAACGAACACCTTCCGTAGGTGAACAAAATCTATATATTGCTAAGCGCCACTTAAAACTCACGGTGTTGAATTAATAATGGAGACCAAGAGTTTTATTGTCATAATACCCGCTCCCACTCATTATTTATTTTATCTTATAAAATATAAGAAAAAATTCATGATTAAATCATGAAATTTTTTAAATTCAATTTTACTAAAGTAAATTCTAAATCTACTTCAGATTTTCTTGGCTTATATAAAATTGATACATAAACTCTTTTCAAATATCTATTGCATAAACAATATCACTTAAGAAATACTCTATTTCATAATTAAAAAAAAAATTATTGCAACAATTACATAACTATAAGAAATATAACATTTAATCATTTTTCATCTCATGAATAAAATGATTATAATGTCGACTTAATTTTATCATATAAAATAAGAATTTTAATAAACCAAAAAGATTTATTTAGTAATAAACTCTAGCTTTGATACCAATTATTGGATCTTAATATAAAATGCGGAAATTAAAAAAAAAAGATTTTTAGAAAATTAAATTGAGACAATCTCCATATTAATTTTCTTAATAAATAATTTTAAAATATGAAATGAAGAAAACTTACCGAATTATTGATTGAGATTATAGATCTTCTTCGTCGAAACATTGATTGAGACCGTAAGTCTTCTTCTTCTAATCACCCCACGAAACATATTTTAGTGAATAGACACAATCAAACAATTATTGATGAACACTTTTTCTTTTGAATCTAATTTGTGTTCTAAATACAATTTAATCATTCAAAAAGAAAAGACTATGAGACTAACATTTTTCACATATATATTCTTTCATCTCTCATTAAGGAATCATGTATTATCATCATTTTTATGTAGAACTTAATTATTATTTATAAAAAAAGTTCACATCTTTTCATAAGCACCTTTTCATAATTCATGAAGCATTTTTTAATTTATATTAAAATGATAATTATCATGATACATCATGACACATTATCAATATTATCTTTAATGACACATTATTAATCTTATCTTTATATTTAAATATTAAAAGATATTTAATAATAATTATCATGACACATCATGACTTATCATCAATTTTATCTTTATTGAGTCATCATTATCTTCATAAAAAATAATAAAATTAGAAGGTGATTATAAATGTGTTACTAATGTAATCATAATTTAATATTTATATTATGTCACATTCTTAACGATAGTGTTCAATATATAATAGAGCTTAGATGATGAAGAAAAAACCTATAGACCTATAATTCAAGCTCCAATAAATTTGATCATTAATTTAACTCTTAAATTAATAAATCAAAATTATTAATTTCATAGGTTAGGAACGTCATATATATATATATATATATATATAGTTCTTCCGTGCATGTGGCCATCGTCAAGCTAATAAAAGAGGGCACTGTTATGATTTCCAATATTGTCTTATGTAGGTGCTTGCTCAGCCCCCATAAATAAATGAGGGCTAAATAAAAATAATTATAACTGCTACAGGTGCTACCGATGGACTGTTTAGCCCTCATAATTAAGAGCATGGCTTGACACAGCTTCAATGGGATGTATTTTATTTTTAATATATAACTGCTTGGGATTTTATTAGGATAATCATGCAGGGAGTCTAGAATTTTCTATTTCCAATTAATGTAATATTTATAAAATTTGTTAAAAGTTGTGAAATTGATCTTTGAGTGTGGATATTCTTATCCAATTCGAATTCCAAAAGAAAATTGTATCCCTAAAGGAGAGAGTCTTCTTCCATTTGGAAGATCGAGTTGGATGGCTTTAGATATCCAAAGAGAAAAGGCAATGCCCCCAGGAGTTATCTCTTCGTTTGGATATTCAAGCCACGACGGATCCAAGGAGTCCAAGGAGGAGAAATCCAAGAAGTCCGAGGAGGAGAATTTAAGGAGTTCAAGGAGAAGAGTTCCAAGGAGTCCAAGGAGAAGAAGACACCCAGAAGAAGACCAATATCCCACTCAAAGTCATTTGCGTCTGTCATAAGCTTAGAAATCCGGGTTGTTAGCAGTGGTACCCGGTCACTCTACTTTCTGCATACCCTGGGTTGTAATATGGGCAATTTCCCTATGGACATTTAGTTGATTATTCTGAATTTATATTGATGTGTTTTCTTGATGTGCGCAGTAGAAATTACCTATTTTTCTAGGTTTCTTTCTTGCATGTCGATTTTGTTTTCGCCTGGATATCGTTAGGCTCTTTAAGGATTATAAAAAAATTTTCTACTCATAACCAAAATTTAATAGCCTAAGTGTAGAAGTGGTGCCCTAGAAAATAATTCTATATGTGTGTATCACTGGTGTGGCTTGGATAGATCCTAATTTGGGTAGTTAGTTAAAATTGCAAACAGTTCAGGTTTGTTATAGGTAGAAAAGAAAATTTTAATTAAAGTTTAAATATTAATGAATTAGAATCTATTTTAGTTAACTTAGTTGGTTGATCAGTTTTAAAAGTTTAGAGTAATGATATTTGGAGTTCAAATTGTATTACCCAAATTTGGAAAGTCCCGGGTCCTCCTAGGTACTAGGCTGAAGGGGGTCCAAAAAGTCACTATGGGAAAAAGGCTAGGTTTGGGTCTCTTAATATTTTAGAAAAATATTAGACCTTAAGATGAGTAATTAGCTAGGTAGTGTACTAAATTTGGAGTTTCCTAGGCAAAGATATGAACTTTCTAAGTTTTGAGCCCTAGACTATAGGCTGGGGTTGACAAAAAAGTTGACTTTCTAATTTAGGTTAGTTTTTAGAATCCTAATATTTTTAATAAATACTAGACCCTAATAGGAGTTGAATGCAAGTGAGTTTGCCTAATTTGAAATTTTCTACAATTAGTTATGAATTTTTTTAGTTCATGGTATTTATGAAATTATCTAAATTGCCTAATAAAGGGCTAATTTTATTATTTTGATCCAAAACAGCTGCAAACAGATTGGAATCACTCCAAAGGTTAGAGATGACCTGAGAAAGTGATCCCAAGTGTTTGGGGAAAATTTGGGATTTTTAATAATTTATTAGGGGCAAAAGGGTAATTCCACCTAAGGTCAAATTAAGGGTCAGCCTAGAGTCAAACTGAGGAACCCTATTTATCTAAGGGTAGGGATCAGATTCTAGTCAGTTCAAGCTATGTCGGTAATTTTTTGATCTAAAATAGATTTATTATAATTTTTATAAGGTCTCGGGGCCCTATTTAGCAGGTTAATTAGGGTTGGTATTTTTCTACTCATAATCAAAATTTAATATTTAAGTTTAAATAACATAGAAACTTAACGAATCTAAGAAATTACCAGAATGTTCTGGGGTCGCATGCATATTACTGCATTTTTCTTTCCTTGCTATAAGACATCTCCCTGCCTACGGGTAGAGTCCGAATAATCTGCTCTATGAGGATGAAGTGCCGGACCTAGGGAGACCCAGCCTTTTCTAAAAATTTATTTTCTATAAACCTGTTTTTTAAAACTCCATAGCATTCAGGATATGCCTTTTCAACTAGTATGCATTGAATTAGAAACTAACTTAATTAAAATTTAATTGCATTAGTTAGGAGCATCTACCCCACATAAGTTCATGACCAATTAGGAAACTCTTTAGATGTCGGTCCTATTTCCAAAAAATATACCACCCACCCATCTCTCATAATTGACTTGACAACATGGTTTTAAAGCGATTAGGTGGTTAGCTGGCTTCCCAATCTAGGCCGGGGTAAGTTCAGGTTTTACACTGCATTAGCTAGGACACGGGTCTCAGTATGTGTAGAACACTAAACCCAACCTAGATCTAGGATTTAAGGCTACTACACTCGGTCTCATAGTATGCCTTAAATAGTAGATAGGTCCATTCCTTTTAGGGACTATAAATCCTACTTATCTGTGTCATAAGATGACGCCACCTCCATCCTTCTCTCACGCATGTGATTGATTGCCTGTCTTTCTTTCATCTAGTTTCTCTTTAGTACCCTAGAGCCTCTGAATGCTGGTATGATCCACGCATATTGATTGAGCCTTTTTGGGACCTTCCTTCCTTTTGAGTAGGACTTCTTAGTTTATACCCTCATACCAATCCCATTTTAGGAAAGGATAATGTATGATCATTAATCGAGAGTTTTCTCGGGCTCTGGCCTGGGATGTAATTAACCACAGGGGCTTGCGCCCGTGGGAAACTCGGTCCCACATCTACACAGGGGCTTGCGCCCGTGGAAAACTCGATCCCACATCTACTAAACCCTACTTGAGCTATCGTATCGGTGGAGGAAACCCGTGATTAGGTCATGTATATTACTACCCATCGGGATATGTTGAAGACAGCCTCTATCCTCAATGGTTAGTCGTATGCACGATCAAATATGCCCTTCCATCAACCTATTCGTGTCGAGTGTAGAGGCCTATAATTGTTGTCCTACGGGATAATGCGATCGTACCCCCTACATTCATACCCCACGAGCAGTGCTCTTTCGAAGGTCCACTGGTTTCTAGAAATATTGTGTATATTTCAAAGTTATTTGAACAATATTTTGGACTCTCTTTTTATAATAATGAGATTGTTATTTTTAAGAATGATTTAAATATTTGTTCTACAATAATGAAAAATGAACTCTTTATGTTAAAACCCACTATAAGCACATTGCTTAACATTGAAATGTTCAAAGTTGAAAAACCTAAACAAAAAGGACAAAAGATTTCAAATGAAGATAACACATATCTATAACATCTTAGACTTGGTCATATAAGCTTAAATAGGATTGAAAGACTAGTAAAGTATAGTCCTTTAAGAGAATTGACTGTCAAAACTCTACTAGTCTGTGAATTTTATTTAGAAGGAAAAAAAATAACTAAGATAACTTTTTATGAAAAAAGTGAAAGATCAAAAGAAACCCTTGAACTTATACATTCAAATGTTTGTGATCTATTTAATATACAAGCAAGAGTTGGTTATGAATATATTTTCATTTTTATTGATAATTATTCAAGATATATTTATGTTTATTTAATTATAAGAAAATCTGAAACTTTTAAAAAATTTAAAGAATTTTGTTCTGAAGTTGAAAATCAATTAAGCAAGTCATTAAAATTACTTTGATCAGATCGTGGTGATGAGTATTTTGATACAAAATTTAGAAATTATTTAATTTAAAATGGCTCACTGCACCTGCAACTACATAAAAAAATGATGTTGCCGAAAGAAAAAATAGGACATTACTCGATATGGTTAGGTCTATATTATATTACTTGTCCTTACAAAATTCATTTTGGGATATTCAATACAAATTGCAATGTATATTTTGAATATTACCCTACCATGACTAAAGACTATATCAATCATATTCAAGCAATTGAAAAATAAAGGAATTGGTGGAAAACTAATTTTCGCCAACATGTGCATCGATCTTATGGGAGCTAAAATAAACAGAACAAATATACATTAGGCGTTGGAAAAAAAAAATTCTAAGAATCTTCAACTTCTTACCTCTTGCAAAAAGCAGCCATAGGTTGTCATCAACCAACATTAAAATCACCAGATAACACAAATAAGTGAAACACCGCTCTTGTTGGGTCTTTCGTTGGAAAAGCTATCAAAGAATAAAAACTAGTTATACATACCACAAAACTATGAAAACCAACAGCGGTGATCAACTTTTGACTTAAAAGGCCCTTTGACAGCAAACTGGTAGAGATTGACGGTGGATACAGAATACATTAATAATGCAAAGGTGGTCGCCCCATTGAGGGAGGAAGAGCTGAAGGCCGAGAGCCCGGTTGAGCACCATATACAGGCAATTGAGAAGCTTGACGTAATTCAGAAGTAATAGGATGCGGCCCAGATGTAGATGTAGATGTAGATGTAGATGTAGATGTAGGGTATAGAGATAGCGAGGACGGGGAATAAGTTTGTCCTGTGTATGTGATAGGTGCTGTAGGGTAATCAGGCCGAACCCCCATCATATTAGGATCCCATGTTGGCATTTGCCCATCAGAAATTGCTGATGCACCATACACTGATGGAGGATGAGGAGCGCCTTGCCAACTGCCAACACCAGCAGGCACAGCAGGAGTTTGTGGTATTGAAAGAACGCCTGAATCAGGAATTGTATAATCCCTGCTTTTATCACTGTGTGCCTGAAAAATTTTCAAAAAAAAAAGGCACTTCTATTAGAGAGAACAAATTATGAATTAAAAAGCATGAGATCATATACTAATAATGACAGTGACCCGAAATGACTAACCAAGCATGGTCCATTTTTCTGGAGAATAAAACAAACTGCTTCATTTTATATTATCATTTATCAATATTTTCAGCAACACAACCATATTTATACCTTTACATTGAGATCAGTATGACGAGAATATGACAGATGAAGCTTACAGTAACCACCATCATAGATACAGTGCCCTTCCAAAGATTCTTTAGAAACTGATGCAGTCGTCACATCTGTAATAAGATAACAAAATTCATCATTTTCTCACAAGCCAAACTAAAACAGCCATTTGCTGGCATTGCATATAGTAAGGATCAGCCAATACATACATCCGCAACAACAAGACCAATGATATCTCCACAATCAGAAACTAATATAAGCATTGATGATCGCAAAATCCATTATAAAATATGCAAACAAAACATAAGACTAAAAAACAATGAAGATAAGGCAAATGTCTGAAATGCATACACAAACACAAAAACAGGATAAAAAATGGAAGAATTCTTCAAGTGTAAGTATTTCCAGTTTAATGTAATCGAAAGCAATGTGAATTATTCCAGCCTACCGGGATACTGGATTAAAGCCTGCATGCCACCATTCTTCTCAAATATTGCAATTTTTTCGACTTTACCAAAGGCCGAGAAGACCTGGATTTTATTTTATTTTTTCAGTAAGAGCTATGTTATTACAAGTTAAAGAACAGAGCCTATTCTTGTCCAGATCACAGAAGCAAATGACTCACAGTGTGAAGCACATCAACAGAAACAGCATATTGCATATTCTCAATGGAAGCAAGAAGTACATTGCTCTCATCAGGCTCCTTTGTCTTACCATCGGGACCTAGTGCAGGCTGCATACAAAACACATCTTTAGAATTTGACATACTTAGGGAAAAAGAAGACAAAGATCATGAAAAGAAGCAAACCTGTAGTGCGTTCTCTATTGCCGAAGGGTTCACAGGCAGATAGGGATTTGTGTAATCTCTGTTCGGGGAATCAAGTACATGAAATGGTAGTTAGGCACTCGGACTTCGGAAGTCACCTAAACGGAATAAAGGTAACTAGTACATGGCAAATGCAATCTAGAAAGTATACTAAAAACAAAATTTAGGATCCCAAAAGGCAGCCAAAATAAGGAGAAAAAATATATCTTTTTAGCTAAATTCGGGAGGGCAAGTTTTGTTTTCAGTAATTGTGCATCAATAAATGCTGCAATCTTGCATAGATCTGAACAACAATAGAATAACCTCATCCTATCAACCGGGCTTTGGCCTAATGGTGAATGCCTCCACTTCTATCCATGAGGACATGGGTTCAAGCCCTACATCTCCACTCAACTACTATTTCTTGGAAAAATATATATAGGAGGGTTGTCTATTGTCTTTTGAACCACAGAATTTGTCCTATTCTATGCCTCTTTGGCTATTTATGTAGTGGGCCATATGCTCCCTTTAATATGTAGTACATAGATTAACCTCACCCCCCAAAAAAAATATTCATGAAAGAATAAAGAGCTTTAATAACTACGGACAAACTTAATATCATGTCAGAGAACAAATGTATTGCTCAACCAATTTTATGGGGCTTGGGATAGCTCATCATCACCATTAGCATCATCCCAAATATTTAGATTCAGTAAAAATATCCTCATTTTTCAATCATCCATATTTAGGGATGGATGAGTTGTTAAACCTATTTCATGCAAATCTTTTTGCACAACCTCTATCCAAGTTACTTTGGTCTACCCCTTCAATTTTATTTATGCATTTTATTGGGCAAATTTTAACCTTTGTTGTATAGGCCGTATCATATATAGACTATTTTCCAGTACCTATATTCAATAGATGTTACTATCACCATCCCTCTAATATAATCTTTTTTTAATATTGACTTCTAACATTATCATTTATCCATCGTAACATAAATATTTGTTGCTTTACTCAACTTGTCTATTGGTGATTTCTTTATTACTAGATATTCAAATTCTTAGGACATAAATGGTTTAATTAAAAATGTCTAGAATTTACATTAAACTTTCCATGATATTCTCTCATACCTACAACATTTATCCAACCTAGTGTTGCATGAGCTATTAAATCTACTATACACAAATCTTTTTGTAAAATATCTATCCAAATTATTTTTAGTCGACCTCTTTAATTATATAAATTCATCATACTAGAGCATCTTCTAACTTTTGTTGTACCTGTCAAACCACCTAAAGCCGATTTTTCACTACATTGCCTTTAATAGATGCCACTTCCACTCTCTCTTTAATATAATCATTTCTTAATATCTCATTTCTAGCTTTACCATACAGGCATACATCCGTCATGACATTTTCATTTTTTTTCTTACTCAACTTATCTATAAGTGGGTTTTTCTTCAACATAACTGATCTAATTGTAGTTTTATGGAAACTACATTAAAATGTCCATGATTTCCCTTATTCCATACTACTCAAACAATTTTCCTACTTAGTGTAGCATGAGCTGTTAAACATATTTTACACAAATCTTTTTTGACAACCTTTACCAAAATTAACTTTGGTCTACACTTCTACATTTAAATGTCTATGACCTTCTCTTATTCCATACTACTGATGCAAAACTTTTACTACTCAATGTAGCATAAGTTGTTAAACCCAATTTACACATCTTTTTTGACAACATCTATCCCATTTACCTTTGCTTTACCGTTTAAATTTTACCTATTTGTCTTATTCATGCATCTTCTAACTTTTGTTGTACATGCCAACCCACTAAACACAGTTTTCGATATGCATTAGATGTTAGTTACATCATCCCTATAATATAATCATTTCTTAATCTATTCCTTCTAACTTTACCACACATCCATCATTACATTCTCATTTTTTCCTTACTCAACTTAATGATAGAATTTATATTTAATTGTCCATTATATTCTCTTATTGAAAATTATTCATGTGACATATCCATCTTAATCACCCTCCTTGCTTTTAGAAGTTATATCATCATCTATACGAAATACCGAAATTTCATTCGGGTAACATGAAATTATCTTTAGAAATTATACCCCATTTTTAGTACATCTCGAAATTGATCAAAACTATTTTTATAAAATTCTACTCTTGATTTTGATCATTTTCATATATAAATTTCTAGATAAATAATATCATGATATTAACATATTTAATTTAGCTATCTATTAAATGATTTTTCTATGGTTTATTTAATATTACTGTAGCTATTTTAATGCACTACAGCATTACATAAATTTCAACTTATCTGTATAAATGCAGCGGTTGTTTGGAAATTGGATGGCTGAGATATTTCTCTATATAATGATACTAGGTATAAACGTATAATCAGCTATATACTAATAAGTAATAACCTAAGCTATGTTCCACATTCCTCCTGTTACCCCTATTCGGGAGTTGAAACTGAAAGCTGCTAGGAGGAGAAACTGCAGGAAGAAGAGAAGAAGGGAAGAAGGGAGCAAGTATGGAGGAGGATTTAGGCTTTGATAAGGAGAATCCAATTTTTCACAATCATTCCAATGCCTTGAGTTTAGATTTGAGTTGTTAGATTGGAAGGTTTTTATGAAGAGAAAATATATTGAATTAAAAATGTCATTGAAAACTATATTGTTAAACTTTTGTTGTTAAATGAAGGATTAATATCAATTGAGAAAATTGCTAATTTTAAGCGCCTAGGCAGTCTAAAAGAAATCTCGAGAAGATAGAAATAAGAAGATTCATCCCAAGGAGAATAAAATAATTTTGATGAGATATTCAATCTCTAATATAAGAAACAAATAATTCAAGTCTAATGTTTGCAAATTTTTATAAATACATTGACATGTTATATATATTTATAAATCTTCTTCAAATTGAGCATGTTAATGACAAATAATGATATCAAGAAATTTACAGCTTCATTAATAATGTTCATAGAATTCATGTACTGTTCATAAAATTCTTTTTTTTTTATTTTCCCAACAAATTATTATGTATATTTAAGCATTTAAATGTAATTTTTTACATTTTAAGTCTTACCTTGGGTGTATTATTATATAAGTTGATGCCAGCATGACTGCATGAGCATAAAAATACTAAATAATAATTAAATGCTTATAAAAATAAATTTAACAGTAAGGAAATTAATAAATTTTTTATCATATGGAATGGGATGACAGACTGATGACCCATGTAGGGTGAGATAAAAGTTCTAACAATATGAGCCAAAAAAAAAAGGTTCCCAACATTAAACTATATTTGGAACTGGCTAATCTTTGGATCGATGAGGTTGTTGATGACTATAACGTTGGACTGTCAAACTTTATCAATGATTATTATGACTAACAAGTTTGGTAATGACCAAATAATATAAATATGCCAAAAATCTATACAGACATTAAATGATATTTATAAGACAATGATTACTAAGAACGAGACAACAACAGCAACAATAAGCATTTATCCTATTATGAGGAGTCAGCATTACTAAGGATAAAAAGGAAAATAAAGCAAAGCAAGTAGTTTAATACCAACAATTGACTGGCTATTGCATTTAAATGATTTGTCACTAAACCAATATAATTCATTTACTTGCAAACATTCATGTTTACTATTTTTGGATAAGCCTTTGGCGTATAAAATTAATAAAGCATGCCCTGATTTAAATCTATTGCATTGAGTTAGTTATGTTTAAGAATATTAATGCTCATTATTAGTTTATTTGATAAGCATGGCATGTTTTTTTTTTTCTTGTATGTTGATATTTTTCTCGCTGAGATTGTAGCTTATTAGATATTATAACTGTGATTTTAAGAAAATGAAAGGAGCAGGTGGGGTGATAGATAGATGGTCAAATTTTTCCTATACAATACATTTTTGGTGAATATTTCGATATATTATAAAAGATGTATATGGTGTTAAATTAAGTATTCTTAGTACGTACCCAAAAAAAAGTATTCTTAGTACGTATGATATTTAAAGATTATTTAGAAGATCTATATTTAATTTGATGATTTTATTTATGCACACATCCATATTAATAATTATCATGGATGCATTAGCATATTCTTGTGTGTAATGTATGCTTATGATGACCTAGGCAAACTAATTTTCTACTAACTTAGCCTGATTGATAGTAGTCGGATGAGGTGTTGGTAGAAAAAATGTTTGACTAGATTATCTGCCTCTATTATTTCTCATGATTAACTGGAGAAAATCAATATGGAGTGTAACAGAAATTACACTAAGGAAAGGTTTGAATTATAACTTAAAACAAAAGCACAATTGAATTTAGAAATGAAGCTAGGAATGAGATTGATTCCAAATATAATTACTATATAGCTATAAGTTGATCTGATTGAAATAGTTTAGAAGTGGCCTACGCAAAATATTATCATCATATAATAAATTGCATTGAATAAGTAAATTAATGTTTTTACAAATAAATGTCTGGAAAATACAACAAACAATGAATGGTCAATCACCCAGCCAACTATAACAAAAATATAAGCAAATGATAGTGTAAAAAGAAGAGGTCAAACTAGAACAAATGAGGAGGCCAACCCTACAGAGGTATATGATATTCTGAACCTTATTTCTTAAGCAGATGACAAAATGATATCTACTAAAAAAATCTTCAAGTAGTGGGTTGAGATCTGAGTTTTGGTCGTGAGTAGATAATAACATGTTGATATTTTAGACTTTCAAGCCACCAAAATTCAAGGGAGCAAGTGATTCAACAATTGCTGAAGACCGACTGTTAAAAATTTTAAAAATTTTGAAGGTATGATCTGCACTGAAATAGAAGAGTCATACTACCAATATTTGTGTTAAAAGGAAAGGCTATGAGATGGTTGCAGGCACAAAATCATGAAGAGTTTGAGATGATGCTTTTATCAAATGATTGACTGGGATGACTTTGTGAATGCGTTCAAAGACTGGTTTATTCCATCATCAACTAGACTGGCATTACAGTACAAATTCT